AAAATAAATATTTTAAATTTAAAACCAACTTTTTAGTGCCTACCTACCTATCTAATATGACAATATAATTCTAAAATTAGTAAATGTAAATACTTTCAGATATATTTYTTAACAAGTTCATATATTACATATGAATATCATATTAAATAATCACTAAACATATGAATCAMACCTAAATCAGCAGGTCCCAAACTCTTACRACCCTAAGGAAAAAGTTTCAYGTTCGAGGAACCTCAATGACTGTAAAACAAATTTTTTACAGCAATATTATTCTAGTGACTATTATTTGGGTAAACATTTTGTCCAAGTATAATATTAAATAATCTTCTCAATATTCACATACATCTAGCAGAACACTTCAGATTGTTCCACGGAACGACAGAACACATTTTGAGAATTTCTGATCTAACAGTTGTACCTAATAGAAATTATAGTCTCCTTGTTGGTTCAAGAACAACTATTTGAATTTATGTTTTAGAAATTGAATTATCATCMTAGATTTTATCCACATAACTAAGTAGTCAAATTGAACTTGTAATGATTAAATTAGATTTAAATGTACATAATACTATGTAATACATATTATAMAAATATAAAAAYTGWTGTGATATTCAACATTGTAGAACAATAATGTCTCAAAAATCAATATCTTAATAATTAAATTACCACTATTGTGTATTATTATTGCAAAAATAAGGGTACCAATATTTATCTGTTTAGTKATGTTTCATACATTCACCCTATGAATAATTTGACTAAAAACTATTAATTTGACAATTACAAAACTTAGGCGCATCCTTAATAACACAATATAATAACCAACCGTCGCTCAAATGTAATACCCTATACAAACTATAGTAGCTAGGTACCTAATAATCATTAAAAACGAGATTGGCATACCTTCATGTTCGATGTTCACGTCCGAATTACCGTGTGGTGAAGTCAATTAATCGGTTCTATCGTATTCCGTCGTTTCATTTCTACCATCGGCAGTCGGGTGAAGTGAAAAAAAAATTCAAACCAAAAGGTAGGTATTGATGTATTAATGGTAATTATAATATTATTATTATTATTATAATTTTAAAATCCCGGTTAGATACGACGAGCGCGACGAGCACCAGGCGGATCACACGAGAATGATAAGACTATCACAAATTCACAATCACTGCTACGCGAAATGAAAGGTTCAACGAAAAAAAAAAAACAAACACCGGCGCGGTGGTGTGGATGACTCGCTATCCGCCCCGGCCGGCTGACCGACATGCCCCAAGCGGCCAGTCGTGGCGTGTGACCTACAAACGCATCGACGAAGACCATCACGGAAACCATTTCGCGAGTCTAATACTGCCTAGAATTATTACCAATTMATTTATTTCCATGTAATATTTGTCTACGACTGTTGGTGGACACTGGACAACTATGATTTTATGCATTATACACATTTGGTTTGTAATTTGTCATAGACACAGCCGTAAAAGTACGTCCTATCTATCACCTAGATATTACGTCATGACGTTTCATTGTTCGATTCAGATCGTTTTATGTTTCCACAAAAAAAAATTAGATGGTTAAAAGATGGGAAGTTGATTAAAAGTATAAATTAATATTATGCAGTACTCGAGAAGTTGAGTATAACCACTTTATTTTATCGATTCATGCGCCTTTAAAATATTTAGTATTTATAATTGAACGAAATTACTTGGAAAATAGGTAGTACTTATAACAWMATCTTTAATATTATATTCGGAAACCACCAAATGATATTATAACAATTGACTTTATTTTTTTTTTCATTTACTTATTAGTATTATTGTATTAAATTTATAATAATAGTAGGCAACTATACAAGCTACTTATAAGGGAACGTCGAAAAAATCTGTTAACTATTAAACAAATTTAAAAGTTAGTAAGTACAATATTCAGTATTTCAGTAGAGTTTTAAATCATTGCTTAAAAAAAATACAATTGTTTGTTTAAATACTTATCTTATTTCGTTCTAACAAATAAACAAACCAAGAATGTTTATAAAAACAAACTGTGTTAAAATCAAATTGGCAAGCCTTAGTTGTATAAAATAAAAATTATATGCATTTTCAGCTGTGTAAGATAATTTGAAAATGTTCGTGATTTTGACAAATATTAACTTTAAATACTTATATAAAAATAATCAAGCTAAGAAACCTTTTATTCAGTTTTCAAACTGTTCGGTTGAGAAAACATTTTTTTATTGACATTAATAGAATAAAAGCTAAAAAAAATCGAATGTATCGAATGTTTACACCTAAATAACCTAAAAAGATTATTTTGAGCATATTTTGCAAATTATACTACGTAAGAATTTCTAATTTATGTATTTGATGATGATTACAATTATCTATATGGTTATTCATTTTTGAATATTATGACAAAATATAAGAAAAT